TCTCTCTCTCTCTCTCTCTCTCTCTCTCTCTCTCTCTCTCTCTCTCTCTCTCTCTCTCTCTCTCTCTCTCTGCTGAACTAGAACCAAATGGAGAAAACCTGTGTGTAGTAAAAGCTACAGAGAGATCTTTTACTTTCTGTGACATCCCCAAATCAGGCAAAGACTTCAGACCCCTTGGGCCCTATGACTTGTGAAAAACATCAAATTTCCAGCATTCAAGAACAGGAAATGTGGGTTATAGCCCCTCTACTAGACAAGGCTTGGCACCTGAGTACTTTTTTTGTGCTGTTTCTCATCCCTGATAAAAAAATATTTTTCCCTTGAGGTTTTTTTTAAATAATTACTTCAGTATTAAAATGTTTAAGCACCCTGGCTCAGCCCAGACAAAGAGCTCTTAAGAGGGAGGCGAGTCATTCTTCAAATGTCACTTTACCCCAAGTGCTCTTGCTCACTGCCTTGCAATGGTTGCTGGGGACATATACCTGGATGGCAGATCTCTGCTTCGGGGTATCCCTGTCTTGCATTGCTTTGTTTTCTTTGGGTACCATGAGCTCTTTAGGAGTGGGTGGGTGTGGGTGTGTACACACAGGGATAGGTCAAGTACATTTCTCCATGAACCTAGCATCAAGCCAGCAGTGGGGTGGGGACATGCATGAATTAAAACAGCAAGTTATGTAGACAGACCCAAGCACTCCTGTCCTGAGACCTGCTTTGGCACTCTGCATGACACATGATACTATGTGCCTAGAAGGTTGCAATCCCCAGGCCCTCCAGGTGTGGCCCAAACAGCATTAAGGCAGACCCTGATCGGACCTGAGCTCCACCCCTTAGTACTACACTGTTTTTCAACCTGGTTGTGCCCATCCTCTCAGCTATAAAACAAGCTCAAATATAACCAATGTTCACAGTTGCAATTAAGATAAAATGAGATAGCATATGTGAAGGGACCTCTCTGCATTCAAGGGACCACATTGTGGCTTATCACCAACTGAATATTAAAATGAGAGGAAAAACACAGCTGAATTTCATCTATGTGAAATAATAAAACAGGACCCGAATATAGACAATGCCAACCCACTACTGTCCATGATGAAGAAGCCAGGGTAACACTCAGCACATCTTCAACCTGGAGCAGCAAGGGCTACAGGTCACAGTTCAGAGCAGCTGTGGTCTCTGGGTCACTATGACCATCTTGGCTAGTGCACCTAGAATCAGAGACAGCACTAGGCTCTTCCTTAGTTCTCACCCAGACTGAAGAGCCAACACTCAGGCCAGCTAGATAGCTCATCGGATTAAAGTGCCTGCTTAGGCAAATATAGGAGCAAGGGGTCAGATCTTGGGCCTGGCATGCTGGCCCTGCCCCCAGGGCATGCTGAGATGGCGACTGAGACTGGGCGTGGTGGCACATGCCTGTAATCCCAGTGCTTGGGAGGCAGAAAACAAGAAGGATCACTACAAGTCTGATAATAACAAAAAATAAAACAAAAAAAAAAAAAAAAAAAAAAAAAGTTGAAGAGCCAACACAGGATGAATCACTTTCCCAGTGGCCACTTCTCTAAATCAAAGCACTGATGTTCACCACATTCTCTACCCAGTAGCCCCCCAGGAGATTTGCTTTCCCATGTGCCCCACCCTCCAGATGAATGGCAGACGTGGAAAGAATAAGCTAAGTATTTTCCACTTGTCACGTGTGAAACTCTCAGAGTACACCACCAACTCCAAGACACGTTTTCCCTACTATCTCATCACCAGCTACCTACCAGGCACCAATGCCCCTAAGACCGTGGAGAACGTGAGAGAGAGAACACAACCAATTCCCTCCTGAGGCTCCTGAGGCTCCTGAGGCTCCCAGTCTGGAGTGGAAGGCCAGCCATGAAAGAGGTGTAATTAGCCTGCTAGGGGACAGCTCAAGAAATTACATATTTACTGAGTATTTGAAACCCCTGCACATGCCACAGTGTCACGCAAATCAATCTTACAGCATAAAAAAGCAAGAAAGCAAGAATATGAGCCTGCTGGGATCGAAGGGATGGCTTCTTTTGTGTATTAATGGCAGTGAATGTAAACAAATTCAAAGATTATATTTTTGTATTCGTTGTTGTGCTCATGACTGCCTAATTTGTTGATATTCAGCTTAAGTGTTCAAGACATTATGGTGAAGAAATGAATCCCTGCTGAGACCAATCATTCATTTCCTTATCCATTATTCCACATATTCCTTAAGGTTGAGCCTCACGATCGGACTCACTGCGGATGAGAACAGTCAAGCACCGTGAAGTCTGTGTGGCTCAGCGCACTCCAAACCCACATCAGGCACTGTGCTAAATGGGAGACTCAGAACAAGAGTGATGAGGCTCCTCATATCCTAGAGATTATCTCCTAAAAGATGAGACAGAAATCAGCCTGCAAACAACGAAAGGGAAACTGTCACTGTGAAGTATGATCAGCTCTACACAGAAACGGTGACGTGACGGCATATGACCAAGAGAAGACTGGGCCGTTCTCTGAGAGTGGGTGCCATGTTGGCACTTACACTGGGATTCCAGTGATGGCACATGGTCAGCCATGGGAATATCTACCTGGAGGCAAGATGGCCCAGAACAGAGAACTCAGCATGCATGGCTCTGGTCAGGTCACATGGGAGCCAGCAAACACAGGTCCATGGTTCCCATTTTCTGACCTAGAAAGCTGACTCTAAAGACTTTTGGGAGATCTAGCCATACTTTCTTCCCTTCAAACACACCAGGAAGCCTGCTATGGCTGGCATAATGTGAGCAGCTTCATTGTTTCATGCTCCCAATTATGCTATACTGCAATTTTAATCGGTGAACATAATGAGTGACTTCCTATGCTGTTTCTTCCACTGTAAATTGTCAAACAGTTTTTTTGTCGTTGTTTTGCAACAAACTACGTTGCTAAACAAAAGTGCGCTAAGATGTTCACGTTCTTTGACCTATCAATTCTACCTCTGGGGAATTTATCTGGAGCAAAGAAACTGGTTCAATGGAAGAAAAATATTCTTTTCAGAAGAACTACATGGACATGCTAATTGTTGTGCACCCAAAGGAAAGAAAAAACCAAAACAAAAACACCTGGAGTTACCTTAATGACTGCAAATACAAGGACTTTTCAAAATAGGAAAATGCACTTGATGAAATAGTATATGCCCATTTAGCATGATGACAGATTACGCAGAGGCTCCAAAGCAAGTGGAGTACCCAGCTTCCTGAAAGAAGCAGAAAAGAAAACACCCTGCATATTTTAATGAAAAACATGTAAATAGCACCTCAAGGTGAACAAGAACAAGATAACTGAAAAGAATGAAAGCAAAGCCAGTGGAGTAGCGTTATCTATTTGAGAAGCCCTCCCAAAACATGGTCACTGTATCAATTTTTAAATTTAAAATCCCTCAGAAACAACCCTATGAGGCTACTACAGAATGCCACCAGGGCACAAGGACATTTGTTCATCCCGATTGTAGACACAAAATAGAGCCAAATTTGGAGATGCCCTCTGGGCTCTACATCTCATAGTCTCTTGTGTATGTAACCCATCTGTAAGAACACACTTAAATCAAATGGCACACTGTTCCATGATTTTATAATTGCTTTCCCTCTTGGGGGTTGTTGGTTGAGAAGAATGGGGTGATAGGAAACTTGTGCCCTATGCTACTGCAGGAGAGAGGGCTTTAAGCCCAGTGAAGTGAAGGAGCAGAAGAGTCCCCAGACGCTGCCACTCTGAGTAGAGGCTCAGACTGGCATCACTCACCTTTTACAATCAGCTCCGCATAGTTGGAAACACCAGATCCACCATCTGAGCGGATCACACAGCGATATTTGCTGACACTGCGCTGGGCAGTGTCTGCCACGCTGACCGTGGCTGAGAAACGCCTGTGGTTGACCACCCGAGTGACCATGAGGGCCGTATCTCTGCCATTCCATTGCTGTAAGACAGAGAAAGAGAAGGAGAAAAGTCAGCACGGTGAGGCTTCTAGCAACTGCCAGCATAGATGCTCCCCCAGCCCTTTACTCCTGGGTTCTGGAACTTAACATTAATCTCAGGGTTTTCACTGTGGTTTGTTCTGTCACCTGATGCAAGAAGAAACTTGGCTGATGAGCTGATTCAAGAAGGGGGTGCCTCGTGGCAAGAAGACAAAGCGAGAGCCACTGAAGATCATCTTAGCCATTTGCGCAGACTTCATTCGAGGTGAGCTGTAGCTCCTTATCCTTCCTCTCCCCTATCTCTCTCCATTCTTCAAGCAGACAGGCTTGGGTAGATCAGTGAAAACCCAGCCCACTGGAGAGATAATAAACAGCTTGTCTCCCAGTCTTACAGCAGGTGACCTGCTATCCCAACCATAGGCTCTAAGCCACACCTGTACCAACCTGTCACCAGGAATAGAAGGCATGTCTGAAACCTCTCCTCTGTGGAGGACCACCTGAGCAACTGTTCTTAAAAGAAGAGAGATTGTCTCCATTTTGGCTAAGCACCAGATCCCCAAACATTAGACACTATCTCAACAGCATAATACAAATTACTTTCTCTGCCTATGACAGAGGTAAATGTAGGCCACCCACCTAGCTCAGCTCACAGTACTTACCTACTTCCCACAATTCTCAGTCATCCCTCCTCAAGCCACTCCTCCACTGAATAAAACCCGGGTGCCACCCTGGGTCAGCCTCTTTGTTCCAGAAAGCCATCATCATGGCTGGACTTAGGGCCCCTTGGCTTCCCAGTAATTATAAATATGTTTTAGTGTCTTTACTTACGCCATAGGTTGTACTGGGAGTGGTAGATTGGAATTAATTTAGTGGGATTTCAATAATGTATCTTTGGGATTACAAATATTAACTTCTCGGACTGAGATGAGAACCAGGAAGGTACTCCTACAATTGGCACTCAGTGTGGCCCGAACAGGCAACCTTCTCAAAGCAACAACCACTAACCAAAATCATGTGCAGGCAGGGACTCCTACACTCTTCCTTGCCTGAGCACTTTCCTTTGCTGGGACTGTCCTGTTTCTTTCAACTCCCAGTCCATCCACTCTAGAAAGTTCTCAGGACTATCACACCACCATCTGAAAGCCCATCATGTCTTTATGTGTAGCAAGCTTTCCACACATCTCTGTCTATAAATGTTCCTGCTTTAGAGCTCCCCAAATACAGCTTTTTGTTCTTTTTACTTCCAGAACCAACTTGATAGATACTTCTAGAATCGAGGTGAATACATACAGGGTTTTGTCTCTAGCTTCCTAAATTTTGAGTGTGATACTGTGTTAAAATAAACTTCCACAGTTGCAAACTATGGTGACAGGTAAGGCACATGCATGTGAATATTTATTAGGCACCTAGTGTACACCACTCCCTAAGAGGGGTATTTCTGTGTAAATCTTCTTTTAATCTTCGGATCCTTGTTTGAGGTATGCATTATTGCTGCTTTTCTCCAAAGAATTTAAATGTCAAAGAGGTTAAATAAATATGAGGAGCAAATAAGTCCTTCACCAGGATTTCCAACTTCAAGTCAAACACTCTTTTTTTCCTGAGGCCTTATCCCTACTGCCTCCCTTAATTTAAATTTTTCTCTCAAAGCAACATGGAGTGCTTTAATTGTCTGGTTGGATTTAGGGAAACCTTGTGATTTATAATTCTCATGCCCTAAGCCTTCTGGGGTGCAATCTTCATTGCGCCCTGAATGAAGTGAACAGTCGCCCCATGTGGATGACCTACTTTCCTCCTTGCCATCTCTCTAAACCCAAACAACCTCACTGACAGATCAGGACAGGAGCTCAGGAATAGGTTCAAGTCTGTGGAAGCAACTGAGTCAGTGCTGACACAAGGGCAGGAGCAGACAGCATAAGAAAAGAAACAGAAAGGCCGGTGAGGTAGCTCGGTGGACTAAGCTTTTGCTTAGGCAAGTGCAGGGGTCAGGGATTGTTCCCTGGCAACACGTGTCATACCATGCCGACCCCTCTCCCTGGGCGCGCTGAGCCAGCGATGGAGTCCAGGTATGGTGGTGCATGCCTGTAATCCCAGCACTAGGGAAGCTGAAAACAAGAGGATTGTTACGAGTCTGAGCTGCATAGAGAGAAAAAGAAAAAGAAGCAGAACTTGTTTTTACAGTTTTCTTCTGGATAGCTAAGACCAAGATAAAGCAAGACCTATATAACAAGAAATGTAACTATTGTATCTGACAAGGTCAGTCAAATCCCCTCAGGATTTACCCTGAAATGCTGTACCGCAGTTTGTAGATCCTTTGTCAGTGTCAGCCATGTGGACGAGTCAACAAAAAAGGGGATATAAATGAAGGACCATTTCGTAGTGAAATATATAT